GATGCTTAGGGAGAAGTAGACCTTACTAGTGAGGCATGAAAGCCCTACCATTAATTCTCAAGGATCCGGCCCAGTGAAATAATATTAGAAGAACATAAACAATAGCAGCAAGGACAGAATCTAATGTCTTGAGTATTGTTTGTTTACTGCACTGGGTGAAAATTAGTGAGCCAACAGAGGGAGCTAAAACAACACATATGAAGCTTGTGAATTCTAGGGCTTAACAGTTGTGTTTCACATAACTGGTGACACAGTAACCTTGGGGATATATAGCTGTAAAAGGGCAAAACATAACATCCAGTATAAACATTGAAAACATAAATCCTGTTGTGAGGACTATTTCTTCTTTATCTAATGCATCATTGGTAAGGATATTTTAAGTAAATGGGAAATCCTGCCATTACACCGTAGATCACTAGAGTATACAGGATTTACTTACTTTCCTTCCAGTTTTTATTGAAATACATTATACATAAAAAAAAGAGCAATATCTTAAGTCTGAAGCTGGCTGACTTTTCATACACTGAACACACCCATGAAACACCACCCAGATGAAGAACAAAACAGAACCAGCTTCCAAATTCTTCCTCATGCCTCCTCCATTCCAAGGGCAATTGCTATTCTGACTTCGGAAAAGGTCACTTTCACATGTTTTTGTATATTACATAAAGGAAACACAGCAGTGTATACTATTTTGTGTCTGGCATCTTTCTCTAGACACTTTGAGTTGTGATATTCATCCAGATATTCATTCCGTTGTTGTGGTCTATTTTAGCATGAGATACATCGTTCCATTTGTTCTCTCCATTGCTCATGAGCATTCAGTCTCTTCTGATTTAAGATCATTACAAATAGGGCTGCTGCAAAACTTCTAGTACATATCCATTGTTGAACGGTTGTAGATGTTTCTGAGAGGTGATATCTAGGGGTCGAATTTCTGGATTAGGGTGTAGGTACACATTCAGCTTTGGTAGTTACTGGCAAAGAATTTTGCAAGCCCATTGGGCCAATTTACACTTCCAGCAGCAGTTTTTCAGAGTTACAGTTGCAATCTGTTGTGTGGGGCCTGGGTATTTTGTCATTTTAGCTATTCTTCTGGGCACCTGCTGCAATTGCACCATGGTTTTAATTTGGATTCCCTGATGACAAATGAAGTTGATCAACTTTTCATACGTCTATAGTCCAGTTGGCTGTCTTTGCTTGTAAAGATTCCTCAGGCTTTTTGTCTATTCTTTTGGTGAGTTGATTATATTTCTCTTACTTATTTATAATTTTTTTATGTATTTTGGATGTAATTCTTACTTGGACACAAATATGGAGAATATTGCTTTCTAGACAGTGGTTGGCCTTTCACTCTCTTACTAGTATCTGCTGCAAAACCTATTTGTGTGACTGCTCTTCTGAGGACATCAAAGAATAGAGGTGATGGGCAAGATGCAGCGGAGAACCAGAGGCTGGCCACAGAAGGTAAGTAGCAGTGAGAATGAGATTTCAGAGGAGCAAAAGATTGGAAGAAGTGGTGACTTTTTTATTTATTATTAAATAATAGCTGTATATATTAATGCAATCATGGGGTACAATGTGCTGGTTTTATATACAATTTGAAATGCTTTTGTTAAACTGGTTAACATAGCCTTCACAGCATTTTCTTAGTTATTGTGTTAAGACATTTATATTCTACACCTAGTAAATTTCACATGTACCCTTGTAAGATGCACGGTAGGAGTGGTCCCATCAATTGCCCTCCCTCCACCCATCCTCCCCCCTCCCCTCCCCTCCCTCTCCCCTTTCCCCTACTTCTTGGGCTGTAATTGTTTCTTTCATAGTAGGACTGAGTACATTGGATATTTTTTTCTTCCATTCTTGAGATACTTTGCTAAGAAGAATATGTTCCAGCTCCATCCCTGTAAACATGTAAGAGGTAAAGTCTCCATCTTTCTTTAAGGCTGCATAATTTGAAGAGCTGCCAGACTGTTTTCACAGGAACTGTAGCATTTTACATTCGCCAGTAATTCATGCCTCTTTAAAGTTCTCCACACCTTCCTCAACACTAATTTTCCATTTGCAAAAAACATACAGCCCTCTTTATGGGTGGACAGTGGAGTCATGTGGTTTTGATTTGTATTTCCTTAATGACTAATGGTGTAACTGAATGATGCGGAGCATCATCATTTCCTTAATGATGTTGAGTGTCTTTTGATATGCTTATTTGCCATTTAGGTATCTTCTTTGGAGGACATTAACTGTATCTTTAAATAAAAAGAAAAGCTTTTTTTGTTTTTTCTTTTTGCAGTTTTTGGCCAGGGCTGGGTTTGAACCCACCATCTTCAGCATATGGGACTGGTGCCCTACTCCTTTGAGCCACAGGCACCACCCAAGAAATGCTTCTTTTAATATTGAGAAATTTATAACTTTTTTCCTTTATAGATAATTTGTTGTTGTTGTTATATATGAAAGTACTTGCCTACTTTTAATGTCTTAACACAATAATCAAGTAAATGAGGCGAAAGCTATGTTGATGATGTAGTCACATCAGATTGTATAAAAAAAAAAAAAAATAAAACCCAAAAAAGCAAAAAAAAAATCAAGAACAAAAAAAAAATAAAATAAAAAACAAAAAAAAATCATGAAGATCAAGAAGAGTCATAGTTATCACAACTAAGTTTTAAAAATAATACTTATTTATCTACATCTATGTATTTCTAATATGTATCATAGATGTATGTAAAATAATATGTAATATAGCTAATTCTGGATGCTCTATTCAGTTGCATAGTTATTTTGATTCTACTTATGCTAACAACACACAGTCTTAATTAATATACCTTTATAGTCAGTCCTAAAATCCAGTAGTATTGATCCTTTGGCTTTGTTCAATTTCAAGATTGCTTTAATAGTGGTGACTGTCAGAAATAGAAAGCTCTGGGTCAGGCATGGTGGCTCACACCTATAATCCTAGCACTCTGGGAGACCAAGGTGGGTGGATTGCTTGAGCTCAGGCATTTAAGACCAGGAGACCAGCCTGAGTAGGAACAAGACCCTGTCTCTAGAAATTACTGGGTGTTCTAACAGGTACCTTTTGTCCTAGCTACTGAAGAGGCTGAGACAAGAGGATCACTTTAGCCCAAGAGTTAGTTCCAGGTTGCTGTGAGCTGTGATGGTACAGCATTCTCCTGACGGTGACAAAGTGTGAGACTCAGAAGGGAGGGAGGGAAAAAGGGAGGGAGAGGAGGGATACAAGGTTCTCAAGAATATCCAGAGATATATAAAAGGGACACCTGTGGATATGTTGAGAAGAGCTCTGTCCAGTCTCTCTGGGATCCCTTTTACCATTTCCATGCCTCCCTCTACAGGCTTCTGGGTGCTTTTGTTTCTAATGGCCACATCCGCTGCTCTATTGAGGTAACTCCCTCGCTGCTGGTCAGCTTTGCCCACACACGGAGAGAGCTAGATGCCCTCAGGACTATGTGCCTCCAGCCTGGTGAACCAGTGACTGGCTGGTGCAGCAGAACAAAAGTCCAATTCCTTTGCCTGGATGGGGCAAACTCTGTGGCATAACTTATAGTACGAAGTTCTTCAGGATAAAGCTGCACTACCCCACCCCTCTTAGGACTTTGCCTGGTTGCTTTGAAAGGCCCATTCCTTTTCAATCCTGATGACTCTGCTTCTCTTCCTGTTTTTCCTGGGACTGCTTCCTTAATACATTACTTGCACATGAATCTGAAGAATCTGACGTAAAAGAGACACCAAAGTCATTTTAATTAAAACATTAAAAAGTGTTCAGATTGGACTGGAAGATTTGAGTATGATTTTTTTATACAATCTGATGTGGTTACATCAATCAACATAGCTTTCGCCTCATTTACCTGATTATTGTATTAAGACATTAAAAGTAGGCAAATACTTTCATATAGAACAACAACAAATTATCTATAGAAGGAATACTTTGGTTATGCGTAGATCATACTGTCAAATACTTTCAGATTTGTTATTTTTGTGTTAGAGGAATGTCAAACAAAACCGCATGTATTAAACATAAAGAGAAAATGTGGAGTTACTCCAGAGAAACTTGTGATCACATAGGGTGAGAAGGAAGGAAACAGAGAACTACGTGTAATGTGACCTGAGGCACGTCAGATGGGTAGGAAGGAAGTCCATCCTGTAGCGTAGACAGACTTCAGACAAAGGTATTATGTACCCTGTGATACAGTAAAATAGTAAAGAAAGCTAATCAGAGGAACATTTGGAAGTGATTTGCATAGGGCACTAATTTTTTTTATACAAAAAAATCAAAGTGAAAATAAAGATAATTTTATTTTTGATGGGTAATTATTTGTTTCAGCCAATCCACCAAATCCAGGAAAGCAGAAATTTAAACTGAGCTAAGATATAAATCATGAATAGCTGTATATTATCAGGACCTCTTAATTAGTTTATTTATTTATAAGAGACAGGGTCTCAGGCGGCACCTGTGGCTCAAAGGAGTAGGGGACTGGCCCCATATGCTGGAGGTGGCAGGTTCAAACCCAGCCCTCGGCCAAAAACTGCAAAAAAAAAAAAAAAATAGAGATAGGGTCTCACTCTGTCACCCAGGCTGGGGTGCAGTGGTATGATCATAGCTCACTGTAGCCTCAAACTCCCAACCTCAAGGGATCTTCCTGCCCTTTAGTTACTCAATTGCTGTGACTGCAGGTGTATTGATTTCTTATTTTATTTTAACTTTTTTTAGAGAAGTTGTCTTACTATGTTGCCCAGTCTGGCCTGGAACTTCTAACCTCAAAAGACCTTCCTGCCTCAGCCTCCCAAGCAGCTGGGATTATAGGTACAAGCCCCCATGCTGAGTATAACACTGGGTACTTTTTCCTCTAGTATGGTGATTTTCAACTGGTGTGCCACACCACACTGGTGTTATGTGAGAGGATCTTAGGTGTGCTGCAAAAATGTTTAAATATCATTAATTAAATTTTTTTCAAAAGAAATTCAAAACACAGTAAGTTCGTTCTTTTTTATTGATCAACATAGTTTAAGTGTGCTGTGGAAGTTTCACTATATGTTCAAGTGTGCCGTGAGATTAAAAAAGAGGTTGAAAAACACTGCTGTAGTGAATAATAGTACCTAAGGAGCAGTAGAATTCCTGGAGAAAAATATAATATACCAAATGCTCTATACTGGAGGTGGGTAGATGGACAAGTTTCTAACTGGTGCTCTTCCTCTTCAAGTCTCACTTTTGCTCCAGTTGTTTAATCTCCAGAGACAGCTTATACACCTCCAGGACCATCTTCACATCCTCTGGGAACGGGAGACACTGTATGAGTTTTCTGCCTGTAAACACACTCTCACAGCCATTAGGCATATCCTAAAAGAAATAAAAAGATGTTTTTTTAGAGGCTTCTCTCCAAACTAAATCCAAAGATATGATTCCTTTGGGATGCATCACTAATGGCAACAAAATTTCAGTATCAGAACCCTCCTCAGGACAGATGGATGAAATCCAAAAGAAACTTGGGTCTCAGCAGTGTTTATCCTGGAGTCCAGACCATCTCTGCTGTCAGGCAGTAATAAATAACTGCCGAAGCAAGGAAGGGCCAAGGACACCCAGGAGCCTCTGTAGGGACTACTGAAGGAAGAGTTCTGATGGTCCATCTGAAATGGAGCAAAAGCATAGCATTTATTATAGAAAGTATAAGGCTAGAAGCCAGGTCACCTGTAGGGGCTTAGACCTCCTTGCTATAAAAGGAGAGAGTTAGAACTTGCCTTTACAAGTGCACCATAGAGCTTTGAGAGTGACAGTGCTAATTCGGTAAATGATTTGTCAAAAATAAATCCTGACACAAGTCAGATCTCATTGATGTTGCCTGGGCCAGAGCTTTGGGTGATACAAAAGTGACCATCCTTGAATTGTGCCACTTACCCACTCACACTTGGGCACCTCTGGGTACCAGGTTCCGTTCTCTGTGCAGGTGATAGTTTGGGGGCCAACCACAGCATAGCCAGGGTCACATTGAACAGTGACATTTTCAGATTCAATATAATGATTCGGGATGGCAATATTTTCATGTTCAACGTACTGATTCTCATCGACAGACAGCTTTCCATTTTCTATCTCTGGTTTCAGACACTGAGCTATAAAGGAAAGAATTGTGATCATCCTGTGCTTCTAAAATAAGATCTTATAATAGTAAAGGGTATTGAGGGTTGAGAAGCACTGATAAATCATACCTGATGCTGAGAGTTGTTCTTTACCTCCATTTATTTTATGATTACAATAAAGTTAATAATAATAATGATAATGTTATAGTGCATACTACATATCAATGTAAGCACTAATGCAAACACTACTATCTCCATTTTGTTAAAGAGAAAAATTAGGTACAGATAGTTTATGCAACTCATCCAAGGTTGCATAGCTTTCCTTGGAATAGGAAATCATGTAGAAAACTAAACACAACAGCCTTAGAAAATGAGTTTTCAAAACTACTATATCTCAAAACCTTGATCTGTTCATGACCAGTGAAAATGAATAAGCTATCATTACATTTACCAAAAGCATTATGTTGATTAAAGAAACCCAGGCACAAAAGAATACAGATGGGATTTCCTTTATATCATGTTAAAAAGTCAACAAAACTAATCCACAGTGTGAAAAGTCAGAACAGTTAGGGATGAAAGTTGAGGAGTAACCGGGCAATGACATGGGGACACTTCTGGAGTTCTGGTAATGGTAATGTTTCTTGACTTGAGTGGTGGTTTGCATGGGTGGTTTCAATTTGTGATAACTTACTGAGCTGTAGACTTTAAATTTGTATACAATGCTATAGTACGTTATTTCTAAATTAAAGCTTCTATTAAAACAGAACAAAATGTGGCCCTCCACATGAACTCGGTAAAGATACACGCTGATAGTAGTAGTTTTAGAGTGTTAAAGTGTGCGATGGTTCATATTTTAATTACCCAAATCGAATAAATAAATAAAATTCAAATTTCTAAGCATTGCCTTTGTCTAGGAGGAAACTCTATTATCAGAATGTTCATGGCGGTTATATGTTCCTACCAAGGGTGGTTAGGTGGAATTTACCTTTACACTGAGGAGCTGGAGATGACCAACGTGAATATGAGCAGGTGATTTTAGCCTTTCCATCCAGAACATATCCTTCATCACATCCATAGTGTATCACAGTAGTAAAGGATAACAATGAACTCATATCCTTATAGAATCCATGGGCAATGGGGGGAGGCATTTGGCAATCTGGAATAGTAACAGAGAAGGATAGAAGAGAATGATCTAGTTTAATTAACAATTCAGAGGAGTGAACTGCCCTTCCACTTATATAGAACTATGTCATTAAGTTAATATACTACAAACATACATTTCATGTCACTAAACTTTTTATATTATTCATGGACTTTTTGGTACAAAAGTATTATTTCAGCCACAAGGAATCACTCTGAAAGAGAATTATATTCAGTAATTATGAGGCTAAATACCAGTCCCAAAATGCCTTAAAAACAGATTTTTTTTTAAGTCAGATAATACAATATAAAAATGGCAAGAGACTTGAATAGACACTTCTATAAGGTGGTCATACAAATGGTCAATAGGCATACGAATAGATTCTCAACCTTAAAGTTCATCAGAAAATGCAAATAAAAGCCACAGTGAAAAATCACTACATACTCACCAGAATGTCTACAGTTGAGAATGATGGTAATATCAATGCTGTCAAGAATATGGCACATTGGAACACTAATGTACTTCCCACTACTTGAGGGAATGTAAACTGTTACAGCTACTTTCAAGAACAATATACTATTATCCCCCAGAGGTGAAGATAGTCATATCTTAGAACCTAACGATTGCAATCATGGACATTCCAGTGGCAGAAATACATGATGCTGTGCACCTAGGGACAAGCTTAGAAATGTTTTGAGCAATATTATTTGTAACAGGCCCAATCACGAAAGAGCCTAAATGTCCATCAACTTCAGAAAAGGTAAGTAAATTGTAGCATTTTCATTCAATGAAGCATTATTCAGCAATAAAAATGAATAACATACTATTCGCTACATGGGTGAGTCTTATAAATACATTGAACAAAACTAGATAGACCACTGATGTATGATTCCATTTTTATTTAAAAAATTCAAAACTAAGCTATAGAACAACTATAAATAAAATGAAGGAAACAATTACCCTGCAAATCAAGATGGCAGTTAGATTTGAAGAAGGATGGGGTGGTAAAAGGGAGGGCCTACAGGACTTCTGGGAACTAACAATGTTCCACTTCTCTACCTGGCTGAGGTTTTCCTAAGTGTTTGCTTTTTGATTGCACATTTTCAATTTATGTACTTTTCCATATGTGTGTTATATTCTAATAAGCTTTTAAAAGAAGAGTTAGTTATCTTTGAAAATAAGTGAAGAGTGACTGTACCCGGATCTCTATGCAATCTCTACCTCTCCCAACTACCATCCCCTCCTCAATGAATATGTTTTAACATTTGGCAATGTTTTGAAAAGAGATTTCTTGAGACTATGTAAAACGAAGACGTATTTTTACATAAGAAATATATAATGTGGACTTAGCCTGTCAGAAAAGGAATTATCTACAGTTCCAAAAGTTTTGCAGAGGAAATTTAGTTCAATTTAATAAGCTTAGTGCCATTTAATAAATTTGGTGCATTAGTATGTCACTGAAAGCCACATTAAGGGAAGATTTTTCTTTTTAGGGATAAATCCAAGTTAAAGTTAAAAACTATTATTTGCTAAAAGAACAAACTATTTAAAACAGTCTCCAGTCAATGAGAATGTAGAAAAATCTTGACTGGCCTTTCTCATGGACTGCATCCTCATTAAGAAGTTCTCCTCCATAGGAACACTGCTCTCAGGCAAGTCATCTGTCCATTTTCTTCCTGTTAAGCCATAAGCATTCTAACTTCTCTATCCTTGCTCCATCTGCCCTGCTGTGATGGTCTTTGTCCTCCTCTACACACTACACTAGCATACATGACCATTCCTGTCTTGGGTTGCTGATGGCACTTAGTAGAAATGATTTATTGAGTTCTTAACCACTTGCATTTTAGATATGTGATACATTTATCATTAATACATAATACATTATGTATTAAGCGCTTAATCCTCACAGTAAGTCTGTGAGGTAATATTTAATCATATATCCATTCTTGAGAAAAAGAAACATAACCTTGGAGAGGTCAGATAGTCTGCGTAAGGTCACAGATAATAAGTGCCAGTGCTATGAATTACACTGAGGGATTAAACTTGGGCTTGTGCTTGTTCCACACCCACTGCCCTTCTTATTATCTTCTGCTCTCTATAGCAATCACTGGGTAGATGCTTTATGTGGCATCGTTGGACATTTAAAAGGCTTTAAAATGGAAATTTAGGCCAAAGAACAATATTCCTGTTACTTGCAAAGGCAACTAGCACTCCATAATTGATGAAACAGGAGGCTCAGAACCAATTAGAAAGCATTTAACTCCCTCACACCAATCAAAAATATTGACAGGCCAGGAATTAAATAACTAAAATAAGAATAAGATTTGGAGAAGATTTTTTAGAGTGAAGCTTTTGTTAGCCTGCAAGCCCCATCCCATCCCATCAGCCCAGGTAAGGTAAATTGTGAGTATGCTTCTCCACAGTCTAAGGAGTCCAGTGAAAAAGCCTAAGATGTCTCCTTTTGGTTTGGAGAGGGTGGGACAGTGGACAAGTGGGGGACCACTGCCAGGAAAAGCTGAAATATAACGACAGATGAGCTGTCTAGCCTAGTGGCTCTGATGGCGAGACTGAATGAAACATCTCTGCTGTTTTGAGATTTGGCTCATACTCCTGATGTTATTCAGAACAAAGAATGAGTGAATACTTCCAGTGGATTAGAAATGAGCTGCATTAGAAAAACAGTCAGGGTGGAGTTGTTTTTTGCCCTATCTAAAAGGAACCCTGAGATGGGAGGACAGCTTCAGTAAAACAAAATAAAACAAAACTCTATGAGCCACCAGATGTCTAAGAGGGAGAAAAGAACAAGTTGTCAACCAGAATAGGAGTTGGGTTTGGCCATACCCAGGGAATTATAGTTAGCAGCTCCACAAGAGCACACACACACCCCAAGAGAAAGAGCAAGCTTTGAACACCCGTGAGGCCAAGAAGCAGCTCTGGCTAAGCATTGTTTCCCTTACCTCTTCTCCCAAAGCTTCAACTCTGCGGGGTTCAGAAAGCAGTGACAATCATTCCACAGTCAGTATTTGCTTTAGTAATGGGGAATAGAAATTCACCTACAGCTTCCATACTACCTTTCCTAAACCTCAGATCAAGAAGCTCCACAGAAATATAAAAATAGCTATTAATGTTTATGAAAAAGCACATTGGTATGAGACCATACTAGGCCTTTTGGGTAATATTAAGGGGCATACTTGCAATGTACTTAAAATGATAAGCTACAGCCATGTAAGTAGATAAACCATGACACAAGTCAAAGAAATGCTAGAAGATTCAGACAGAGAGCAAGTTCTATAGAAGGTGGTGACAGTAGAAGGTACTGGAGTATCAATGGAATTATGCATGGAATAAGTTGAAAATACATCTTCAAGGATGGGTAGAAGCCAAGTAGGTGAAAATGGCAGAGGCAATTATATTGAGCTGACTAATAAATCTCTGGCATCAGAAGATTATTATTGCAAGACAAGTGGAAGATAGCAGCAGAAAGAGATTCAAGTTGATAGACATTAAATGCCCTTTCAGGGGGTGAGGATCATAAGGGATGGGAAGATCTGAGGAAAAATGGAAAGATAAATACAAACATGCATAAATACTTGAAAGACTGGTTAATAAACTAGGTAAGGCCTTCCTCCACTACCTCAGAGTATAAAAGAGGGGAACTCAAAAGAAGCAGTTGGCCTCTGTATCCTGTACTAACCCCATTACCTAGATTGACACCCTTCCTCAATAAGTTTCATGCTTCTGATGTAAAGAATCATATTCCAAATACAGATGTTTCCTTAATAAGCTATGCATCCAAAAAAAAAATTAAATTAAATTAAAAAAAAAATAAGCCATGCATCCCCCATACTACCCTCGATGATGAAGAAAGCACAGCTTCCACATTTTATATCAATCTGCTGGCTCACAGAAGAATGCACAGCTATTATTTTAGGATTGGGATAGTCTCCCTTAAACTATCCAAATCCCCCATTATGATGACATGATATCTGTTTTAAGGAATATGTTTACAAATATTTTTAATTTATTATACAAATTAATTCAAATATGTTTGAAAATATTCTTAGTTTATTATAAAAATTAATCCTCGCAGATAAAAAATAATGTTGACTGCCTGAAGAAAACATCACTTTTTTAAAAGGACATTGCCGTTTGAATTATGTAATGATAATTAAATTCCATAGCAATAGTTCTTCAACCAGTTCTGGCAAGTTCTCTCAAACATGTACATTTCTCATTTATTGATAAAATTTTCCCTACATTTCAATAACAATGCCTTACACTTCTATAATGCTTTACAGTCTGCAAAGCTTTCACTCACAAAGTATTTGTGAGCACAGATAATATTGTTGCTTTGTAGATGGAAATGTTTTCTCATCAATCACTAACTAAGATTGTAGATGGCATAACTAACCTAACTGGAAAAGAAATGTGTTTTAAGCATTTAAAAGCAATTCTTTGAATGTGAGAAACTAATTTGAAAATTAAAGCTTATTCCTTTTTTAAAGTACCCTCACAAAGCTTTTTGTATGTTAATGTTTTTTTATTCTAATAACAGCCTCTCTCTAGAGTACAACCATTTCCTTGATATTTTTAAATTCTTTATTTTTAGTAATTATGTAGTTCATTACACTCTCTTGAAAAACCTAGTGAATCACCACAATGTGACTATATTTGATTAATTTTTCATTAGGAACTTCTCTCCATGCCTGGGAGAAACTCTCCCCTTCCCCCCATAACCACTGTACTCACCACACAAACCAGAAGGACACAGGAGTAGAGTCAAGATCCCAAATAGGCACCATGCTGGGCAAGTGCCCTGTAATTCAGAGGACATGGCACAGAGCCTCAGTGGCCACACTCAGGGGTCACACTCAGAGGGGCTCAATGTTCCCAGAGAGTTGAAATGCTTAAGCCAAGGAGCTCAGCTTTAACAAGGCCCAATATCACTAATGGGGAGGGTCAGTGGGAGTGACCAGAAGACCAGGTGCTGAGCACACCCCTGGCAAGAGGTGCTGACATGGCCCTTGCCTGAACAGAAGAGCCCGGAACTTGATGCAAGAGCCCTCTGTGAACCTCTGTGTATTTTAGTAGTCATGTGATGAGTCCTTTTCTGGGAAAACATAATTCCTCTCTTAGTAAACAAGAGCAAAAAGCAAAAGGGACTGTAGCTCCTGAGGCACAGTGTACATAGTGGCTCTACAGGAATTAAAAGTCACAGCCAGGGAGAAAGCCCAGGCTGAAAAGCAGTTCTTGTCCAGGGAAAGTGGTTTCTTCAATCAAGAGTATGAATTGCCCACAAAAGAATGATTTTTTTTTT